AACATTTATTTTATCTGTAGCCAATATTAAATCAAAACTCTTGAATGAGATAAGATACTCTATAAATATTTATTTTTGTTTATTGATGCTTTGGAAATTACATGAATGCCAGTTAAGTGATAAACACTTAAATTCAGATATTTTAAGCAGGTCATCTTGTCAATTGATATTGCAGTTCTACACCTTTTCACCAATAGTTTCAGGTTGAATTGAGTTTTGCTTGCCAAATTTAAGATTTTTTATACTTGTGTAAAACCATGACAGTTTATTTGACAAAATGCAAATATAAAATTTTCCCAATATTGTAGTACTGTAATAGCTGTTATGATATACATTTCTGTTTTATGGAAGGGATTTAATTCTTGCCTAAGTTGTCTTTATTGCCAGTTTGAAGGCCAAATTGTTCTGGAAGCTTCTTATAGATATGTTAAAATTGTAAGATTGTATAAGTATGGTAATTTGTGGCTTATGCCAATACATTACTTTTTTCAGATTGTGAAGTTTTCAACCCTTCATTAACATAGTGATGTCAAAAAACTTGTTTCAGAATTCACTTTTTTATTACTCGTAGTACAATCTAACTTATACTCTTTCAGGCAATACAATCACACAAAACTTACTTGGGGAAAATAATTTGGGAACATTATTTAAAAAATCAGTAATTACTGAATACTTTAACTTGTGACCAATTTTTGAAATCAAATTCACTATAATATTGGAGTAAAAAAGTGGAATTTTGAACTGTAATAAATAAGACGGGCAAGTGGTGACCCACATGTCTAGCAAGCCATTATCTGAAAAATATAGTTAAAAGGAAGATGTTCATGTTGCATTGCATTAAAAATGTAAAACATTATTCAAACAAAAGAAAATAAAACAAAATTTATAAAATAGACGTGTTTTATTCACAGTATTTTTCATGTTTTAAAAATACTCAACATGGACACCACATAAAAATTAAAACTAATAATAATTAAGTTTTGGTAAGAATTATACAAGAAAATTTATGATTATAAGCCAAGTCTTCACTGGTCCTGCATTCTTGGTCTTTGAAAATAGAAAATGTGGCAGCCAGATGGCAAAACCTTGAAAAGCCACGACAGAATAAGGTAGCTTTACACACCCACTGAAAACAGATTTGACGTGGCAGGAGATTAAACTCCAAAATCTTTCCCTTGAAATTGCATGGGCAGTTTTTAATTCTAAGCTGCCTCAGAACTTGGGTGAATTCACACACCAACACTCTGAAACCGTAGCCAATGTTGCAGAAAAATCCACTGATACCAATCCTTATATAAGAGGGTCTGACTTACTTGACTATATAGAGGCATTTAAGAAATTACCCATGCTATCATCATCACCTGCCAGTCTTTTTCTTCTTCTTCAATTTTTCACCCGCTTTTGCAGGTGATTTTGAGTCTTTGGATATAGGTTTCAGAGCGGATGTCAGATCTATTGTGTCTGGTGCTTTATTGTCCCTTTAAGTTAAAACAACCAAAAGGTAACTGACATGATATTGTATTGTCTAAACAGCATAAATATTATTATCGATTTACTTTCTCTAGTGTGCATATAGCATAGAGACAAGATGAAAACTGTACAAAAGACATTCACCTTTTTGAATCAAACTGAATAAACATTTAAACCCAATTCAGACAAAAAGTTTAAAAGAAAAAATTCAAGCAGAAATTCTTTTTTTTTGTTCTTTTTTAAACAGTATTCCAAGAAAAACAAGAAATGTTCCTTTTCCATCTTACCCTTTTTCCTTCCCAGTTTTAGTATCATCCAACTCCTCCAACACTACAACTTCTTCCTCCTCACTGTCTCCACTCAACTCTCCAGTTATATCTGAAAAATCAAAGACCTCCACTTTAACAAAAAGTCATAAAAAGTTATCAGGACACCATAAAATTAAAATATAATAACAAACTTTTATAGCAATACTTATCATTTGAACAATTTATTTTCCAGTTAAACAAAAAATTTAAACACAAAACTATATCTGTTCATTATATTGCTGGTAAACATTGTCTAAAGACACAAATTGAAACCGTTGCCTACCAACTACAGCTGTTGCACCTTTCTTGTTAACTTGACTGGTTTTGTTTTCCTTCATTCTGTTCTCTTCTTCACTTTCCACACCCCATGTGTTAGCACCTCCCTCCCCTATAGCTCCAGTGCCAGGGCCCTGGAATGATACAAACAGCCACTTATCTCAAGATGGCATAGCAACAACTCCAGAAAGTTCATACTAGCCTCCTAGGGAAAACTGTGTAATTAAACCTCTATAATAAGCAGTACACATTAAAAATAATGTTATATCATAGCCCACAGGAACCATTACTTTTATGGTTCGAACTGGATATAGCAAACCAATCCAAACTATACAATGAAGAAAGGATCAGGATGAAAATTGATTACATTCAAAACAAATGTACAGGTGCAAAGTTGCATATTAAGAAACTTACCAAAATTTTCACCTCTGACACTGATCTTGATCCGAGTTAAGAAAAACAATTTCAACATGGTATTTACGTACTTTCAACAATGGTTTATCATTATATTTGTTACAGCTATTACCAAGATGATTCTTACAATATCTTAATGTCTTTTCAAATAAGAAACACAACAAATCAAAAAAAAATTTAATTGTAAAAACTTTGAAAAATGCAATACTCTTGGTAAATGCACCAAAAATAAACATGTATCAAGGATACTCCATTTCTTCTTCGTCATCTTTTCCATTTTCTAAAAGCTGATAGGCCATCTCCATGGCAACCTCTGTGTCCACTTCCTGAGCCTGCTGCTGATTGGCTGTCACCTTGGCAGGTTCCTGAGATGCAGCAAAGCCAAATTTCTCTCCAGAGGACCTGTATTAGAAATGTGACAAAACTGACCTGAAAAGCTACATATATATACCTCAGTATTCAGATATGACACCAAAATCATGATTCGTATGTATTGACTGATTACTGAAAAAATTCTCCCCATCTGCACCAAAGGTTAACTTATCAAATGGTTTTGCTGTTATATGAGGAAAGTTCAACAGAATTATGACAGCTTCAGATACTATTTCAGCTGTGCAAATCAACAAGAAGTTCATCAAGTACAGTGGCCTTAGTGCTTCATCTACAGTTATAGTGGTCATGATTAATTGTGCATTACTTTGAGTGCAAACACATAACTAGGTTAACTTGTAAAGCATGCTTGACCTATAGCAGTAGTGGTAAGACTGAGAAATGTTACACAAAACATGGAGTATTTTTATCAAACTAGAGGACAAACTGAATGCAACTAAATTATTCAAGTGTAACAGCATAGAACAATAGGGGTCTCCATGAATGAACTAACCTTGCTTTAGAGTCATTTTCCAGAGCTTTCTGTATGAGTTCTGTGATTTCTATCACCTTCACAACAGCAATGTTGGAGCACCTTAAGACCTGACGTGAAATAAACAGACAATATGAAAATAACACACAACTTCTAAGTGATGAAGGAAGTGCTCCAAGAGAAAATACACTACTGCAGTGACAACAATGTTGACTCATTTTGACTTTAGAAAATTTGATTCATTCAAAAAGAATACTACAAAATATATAAAAAAAGAAAGAGACAGACAGACAGTAAGCCAGACTGTCCATCCACCTGTCTGTCCATCCATCACTCACTCACTAACTCATTCACTTGGTCTTCAAGTGACAACATATTTCCTGCCAGCTAAATGTTTTGGTGATTCACATTTACTTACTTGGTCTTTAAGCAACAACATATTTCCAGTCATTTGAAGGGTGCAGATTTCTCTGTGTTTGTTCATTGCAATGACCATCTTTCCATCCATTACTTTCTCCTCCTTTTCAGTAGGGTCAACCAATAAATACTTCCTAAACAAATATATATATATCAAACATGGCAATTGATGAGATGTAGAGTGAAAGGTGTAGTGTATGAAAGTAAGACATGGCAATTTATTTCTGGGCACCTTAAAATTGCTTTGAGGCCCCAAGATCACTATGCCCTTTGTCCCAACATGTGGGACCAAAAGTTGCAAGAACAACTTCCCATCAATATTAACAGGTACTATCATGATATCACATGACCAATTACTGAAAAATTGTACCCATCTGTAATATATGTAATATACCAAAATAAAACAGTGCACACTGACCACAATACACTTCCATCTTTTCATTATTTTTTTTTTTAGCTAGTTAAACTAATATTAAGTAGAAATTGTTTTATTCACTCACCCCTGTTCATAGAAGGCAAACGTGACACATATAGGCATATGGTGCAAGCTGAGAGGAATGGGTTCACGCTCCTCTGCTTTATGCTGAAATTAGATGCAAGATTAATTTAAAATCAATATTTTCTAAAATGCATTTTTCTTCTTTTAAAATACCGTCTCTTTTTATTTAATTCATAAATATTTCAAAAGATGTATGGTAACTTCTTAAGGATATAATTCAGAAGTGTTTATTTTTCCATCTTTCAGATTTTAGGTTAACACTTACTATTGTGACCTCTTCGCCATCGACAGTCACATCAGGACGTCTGTAATATGTAAAAATCAATTCATTTAAACTGAGAAAAAATGCTATCAATTTTACAATGAAACCTTCAATGAGGTAAAAATGAAGTTGTTTTGTACTGAAAGGTATTAAGTAAAAGATAAGAATTTTGCATGTTATAATAAATTGTAAAAGTGGTTTCTGGGTTTTAATTTTGAATTTTAAATAACAGCACTACATTACCCATTTAAAGAGCACTTTCTAAGCATCAGTTACTTAATCATCCATAACAATTATAAGCTGTCTTCAACTGCTTAAGAAATGCTCTCCCATAACCTCCATCCTTACCTGAAATGTGCAAGTGCTGCCATTGCTGCTATACTAGCACAATCCATAATATTCCCTTCTTCATTCAACACATGAACATCTACACGAACTGAAAACACCTAGAGCGAAGAAAGTTGTCACAGTATGAAAATTTGGACATAACTTTTTTCAAAAACATTTTGAATTTTTACAAATTAACCATTAAAATTGAAAAAACAAAAATAAAATAAAAAAACATGGAGACAATGACAGACAGTGATAACTATTAAGTATCAAGCAAACTGAAATTTAACATAGCTGATCTTAAAATAAAAGAATAAAAATTCTAACCTTCTCCCCTGCTATGATACACAATGATTCTGTATCAATACACCGAGAATCTTTGATGCATCTCTCTAACAGTCTGTTCAGTTCTACACCATATTCTGATAACCTGCAAATTGGTAAATATAATTCTAAAGCCTGCAATAAGGTCAGACTATGTTATTTCCCCTGTCTTTTACATTTAAGTTGCTATGTTATGCAGATATTTGCCAAACCCTTTTACAAGCAGAAACGGAAATTGAACCAGATATGTATATTTTTACTCAACGGTGACTTAATTACTAGTATGTTCATAAAAGTCACGTACATATAAAAATCCCAAAGCCAATTCTATCAAGGTTACACATGTTCAAGACTGTTAACAAAGAAAATCAAAATAAAAAAAAATCTGTCAAAAAACACTGAGCTAATAATATAATCAACTCAAATCTTGTGGCATGACCTTTCATGTTTACCTTCCTGCTTCAAAATGAGGTGCCGCCATAGGTGACAACTCCAAGTTGACATTGAGAAGTCCCTCTGTGGGCCG